TCATGTTGGAATTTGACTTTCGAAAAATCCGTTTGCCAAAAATAAGCCTTTTACGTCAAGCAGTTTAATCGTGGTTAAGAAATTACCCAACTTTTTGGAACACCCTGTATGAGTTTTTAAAAAATTTTAAAATATGTAAGAAAATCAAATAAATTATGCTTGTCCAAACGTTTCCCCGAAAGACTAACCGTTTTTTAAATAACAAATATTGTAATATTTGAGGGGCGTTTTCACCCTCTTGGAATTTGAGATTCGAGAAACCCCTCCTTATCGAACCTTTACACCCCACAGTCAATCCGTTTGGCAAAAATCATATTGGTCATATTTGTGTAAACACCCTGTATAAATTTATAAAAAATCTTAAAATATGTAAAACAACAAAATAAAGAAAAAAATGGAGAAAAACTTTTTTTAAATAAAAAATATTTTAATATTTGAGGGATAGTTTCACCCCCTTAGAATTAGAGTTTGGAAAAATCCCTTCTTATCGAACCTCTACACCCTAAAGTCAATCTGTTTTCCAAAAATCAGCTTTTTACGTCGAGCGCTTTAAGCAGGATCGTGATTCATCAATGACCAGATTTTTCGAAACACCCTGTATGCATTTTTAAAAAAATTTAAAATATGTAAAAAAACAAAATAAAATATACGTGTTTAAGCGTTTTTTCGGAAACTTGACCGTTTTTAAATAAAAATGATTGTAATATTTGAGGGGTGGTTTCACCCTCTTGGAACTGGAATTTCGAAAAATCATTTCTGATCGAACCTCTACACCCTAGAATCAACCTGTATGCGAAAATGGAGCTTCTTACGTTGAGTGGTTTGAGCAGGATCGTGATTAATCAGTATGTCAGTCACTTAAGGATTTTATATATTAGTATAGATTCTTAATTTTAGGGACCTAAAGTGAAACATTCCCATAAAATATCCAAAGAACAAACTAAAAATCAAAAATAGTATCCACGACATTTTTCTGTTGTAATTACGCTGGCTGTGGCAATAGACAAGACCGAATCCATTGTTGTCGTCTTGTATTATATCGCGGATCTACCGACTGAATAGATTTCCGTGAACTAGTCTTTTAATTAGTTCCTCTATCTAGTTCCTTTTAGCCCTTTCGGTCCGGGACAGGTAACATTCGGCTCGCACTCTCCACTCCCGCCTAGCATCAGGCTGCGATTGCGCTGGCCGATCCTACGTAAACTAGACTTTTATTTAGTTTCTCTAGTTCCTCTAGGTCCGGATCCGATAACATACGGTTGGCACTTCCCACTCCTGATTCCTGCCTAACATCGGGCTACGATCGCGCTGGCCGTTCCATCGCCGTCGCATATTATTATATATCAGTCACAGTCTCGATCCCGGAATAGGTCCTGAGGTCTTTGAGAAACCGAGAACTAGATCCTTTCATTCCGGGGTCGGAATAGTTCATTGGAACTAGTTCTTTCACGAACTACACACCTCTAAAAAATCAACATCATCATGATTAGCTGCTCAAATCCTGGAAGGTAAACCAAATACCAGTACTAGACACCTCGCAGCAACATTCCGAAAAAGAGTTTTATGTGAAGAATAAGAACCCGAAACCTTCACGAGCAAAAATGAGAATACAATTCAAAAATCTCCAATTACCTTAGTGATAGTCCATCAATTACCTTAGTGAATTGTTCAAACTGCGACATTAAAGTTAAAATCAACTCAAAAAATGTTATTAAAAAAATTAAAATAATATTTGTTTATAGTGTCATTGTTAGTGGTAATATTATTCTGTGAATTATTGTAAAAACTTTTTAATAAACATTTAAATAAGAATTTCAATTCGATCGTAGAAAAAATCTTGTGTGCAACATGTGCTAAGAGCATATTTGTTGCGTTTGGCATGATTGCAGCTCTCGACTCCGGCTCGAGCTGCAAAACTCACGCGTCGTGCAACAAATATGTCCTTTTTGCACTAGTTACACAAATAACTATTGTTTCACGTGTAAAAACTCGATGACATACTGGCTTCCGTTTGGAGTCTACTGCCTAGTAGCAAAGAATATTATAGTTAACACAAATTATCTTTGCTAGTATATAGTCGCGATCCTACGCAGTGGCATCAAAGATTAAGAATATTATTACGCTTTGGCGGCGTTTTACCAGAAATAACTATTTTTTTATAGATTTTCCTTCAGTAACGATATATTCAGGTATTTTTTTTTAAGAAACAAAGCCACCACAAAGGAACAGGCGTTTTAAAAAGCTTTGACATTATCTTGTAATATTTTTAAAGTGTTTTCAGATACAATCCGGTTTCCTTACTGAATTATCTTTGTCTTCTTCATCTTGGCAACTTGCAAACATACGGAAACTATTTTGCAAAGTTGTTTTACTTTATTTTTGCAATAAAAAAAAACACTAGGACTATAAATAATGGCTCAAAAATCGACAAGAGATATACTTATTTAGTAATAAATAATAGCGAAACGGAGAACAAGAGGCAAAAATGAATAATTCGGACGTTGGAGACGCGGATCCCCTCGGGGGTTCGAACTTCGCCGAAAAAGGAGGAATGCACTTAACGACCTCTACCGGCCGACGACGGATCTATTTATAATGCAAGAAACGCAGGACCTGAACGTCCAATTATCCCACCGCTTCTGATTTGCATTGATTCCCCTCGTAATTTCTCCGCCATTAAAAAATACCGAAAAAGGTGAATCATTTTCGAGGTTCTAGCTTTCGGGAAGATCGAGCCCTTTTACGTTCACCGATCAAAATTAATCTTGTAATAAAAATAAGCTGATTCGAGGCAATTATAAAAATCGTCACTGCCACCGTTGCCGCTGATTTTATAATTACATAATTAGTTTATAATTTTAGGCAGTCGACGTTGGTAACTGTGAAAAATATAGGTGATAGGTAGTGATGAGCAAATGCAAAATTAAGACTCCTTTTTTTGGTCTTGGTCTTGTAGCACAATACGCAATGGAAAGGCAAATGTTTGGTTTCTTTTAAAGAGTTCCAAATATCGAAACGGTCTTGTTCAGGAACTTGGTCTTGATGCAGGACTGAAACTAAATGAAATTCGGACTTCCATTGACTTTATTTATTTGCTTGCACAACGTTTCCGGCAGTAGTATGTAATGGTCAAACATCAACAAAATATTCCTTATGTTTGGACTAAATTTTCTCGAAAATAAAGACATAATTTAAAATTCCGTTACAATACGGAAATAGATTGAAGTTTTGTGATTACAGTGATACATAATTTATATGGTTTTGTAACAAATTCTTCGCTATTTTATGGCAAATGCTGAAGCTCTGCAAACCTTAATCAAGCCTTAATGAAAGCATATGTGTTTGGAATTTTGGGTGTGGCTTAACACGACAGGATCGGGTTAAACCTTAGGTAGATTTCTGAAAATATAATATATATTTCCTTCGGCCACATACTCGCTTTACCCGATCCCTGAGAGCGACTCAAAAGTACAGCGTAATACCAGAGTACTTAGATCGCCGAGTAGCGACAGAAACCGTCGGCTCTTTTGATGTGGTGGGACCAAATTTTCTTTCTCTCTCTTTTGACGTGTTTGACAGATAGACTACGTATTTAACTGCTCAATTTATGAAGTGGTCCTATAAACATGGTATACACTGCTCACAATTTGAAGTGGAATTAATTATAAAGTTTTATACATATCTTTTTTGTTTTGTTTTATTCTTATTTCTAAATTTGAATATATAAAATATCTTACTGCTAATAAATAATTAAAAAAACGATTCGTTGCCTAAGGTATACTTGAAATAAAGTATATATAGATATTTGATAAATGGCAACAGTGGCAACTTCGCTTCTTCGTATGACAGATAACCTACTTATTTCGCGCAGCCGCAAAGAAAATTGAAAACGGGACTGTCGCTACTCGTCGGTTTAGGTACTCTGGTAATACTCTTAACAGTAACCTTCGACTGTATCAATAACTAGACCTAGTCTAGTTGCATAGACTATCAATATAACTAGAATATTTTGATTGTTTTCTTTGATCTTCTTGCCGCTTCTTCAGGCACCAATAAAGTCGCGAAACGTCGCAAAATTTTGTTATTTTCATTTGATGTATTTATTCTAGATAATATAATATTTTATTATCATAAACAATAGAATAGGTACTAGACTCAAACTTATAGTACTACATTTTGTTGAACATTTCTTTGATACTTCTACGTTGTACTTTCCCCGATGGCGTCGTAGGAATATTGTTCACAACTAATATACCACTCCTGAGTCTGTGACTATTTGATACACGTTCATTTATATAATCTAACAACTCTTTGACCTCAACCTTAGAGTTAGGCTTCAAAACAGCCAAAGCTCCTGGATGATTATTATGTACCAGATGCTTCACACCAAATACCAGAGCTTGTGCCACTGCGGGATGTGAAAGCATGCCGTTTTCAATGATGCTGGGAATGATCTGACTGGTTTGGTATTTAAAGGTTTCGTTAATTCATCCAGTCACATAGACGTAGTGGTCCCGGTCATAATAACCAAAGTCTCCAATTTTCAGAAAACCTTAGAGTTAGGCTAGGAATATTGTTCACTAATAAAATACCACTCCTGAGTCTGTGACTATTTGATACACGTTCATTTATATAATTCAACAACTCTTTGACCTCAACCTTAGAGTTAGGCTTCAAAACAGCCAAAGCTCCTGGATGATTATTATCTACCAGATGCTTCACACCAAATACCACAGCTTGTGCCACTGCAGGATGTGAAAGCATGACGTTTTCAATGACGCTGGGAATGATCTAACTGATTTGGTATTTAAAGGTTTCGTTAATTCGTTGTTCACGTAGATGTAGTGGTCCTGGTCATAAAAACCAAAGTCTCCAAGTTTCAGAAAACCATCTTCATCGAAAGCGTTACTTGTTTCGAGGTTATGGTAGCCAGACATTAAGAAAGAGTTACCTAATAAAATTAACATTCTTTCAACAATTGTAAGTATATTTGAAACAAATTTTGTTATTTTCATTTGATATATTTATTCTGGATAATATAATATTTTATTATCATAAATCATATAATAGGTACTAGACTCAAACTTATAGTACTACAGTTTGTTGAACATTTCTTTGATAGTCCTACGTTGTACTTTTCCTGATGGCGTCGTAGGAATATTGTTCACTAATAAAATACCACTCCTGAGTCTGTGACTATTTGATACACGTTCATTTATATAATTCAACAACTCTTTGACCTCAACCTTAGAGTTAGGCTTCAAAACAGCCAAAGCTCCTGGATGATTATTATCTACCAGATGCTTCACACCAAATACCAGAGCTTGTGCCACTTTGGTATTTAAAGGTTTCGTTAATTTCAATGACGCTGGGAATGATCTGACTGGTTTGGTATTTAAAGGTTTCGTTAATTCGTCCAGTCACGTAGACGTAGTGGTCCCGGTCATAAAAACCAAAGTTTCTAAGTTTCAGAAAACCATCTTCATCGAAAGCGTTACTTGTTTCGAGGTTATGGTAGCCAGACATTAAGAAGAGTTACCTAATAAAATTAACATTCTTTCAACCATTGTCAGTATATTTGAAACAAATTTTGTTATTTTCATTTGATATATTTATTCTGGATAATATAATATTTTATTACCATAAACTATAGAATAGGTACTACACTCAAACTTGTAGTACTACAGTTTGTTGAACATTTCCTTGATAGTTCTACGTTGTACTTTCCCCGATGGCGTCGTAGGAATATTATTCACAACTAAAATACCACTCCTGAGTCTGTGACTATTTGATACACGTTCATTTATATAATCTAACAACTCTTTGACCTCAACCTTAGAGGTAGGCTTCAAAATAGCCAAAGCTCCTGGATGATTATTATCTACCAGATGCTTCACACCAAATACCACAGCTTGTGCCACTGCTGGATGTGAAAGCATGACGTTTTCAATGACGCTGGGAATGATCTGACTGGTTTGGTATTTAAAGGTTTCGTTAATTCGTCCAGTCACGTAGATGTAGTGGCCCTGGTCATAAAAACTGAAGTCACCAAGTTTCAGAAAACCATCTCCATTGAAAGCGTTACTTGTTTCGAGGTTATGGTAGCCAGACATTAAGAAAGAGTTACCTAATAAAATTAACATTCTTTCAACCATTGTCAGTATATTTGAAACAAATTTTGTTATTTTCATTTGATATGTTTATTCTGGATAATATAATATTTTATTACTATAAACTATAGAATAGGTACTACACTCAAACTTGTAGTACTACAGTTTGTTGAACATTTCCTTGATAGTTCTACGTTGTACTTTCCCCGATGGCGTCGTAGGAATATTGTTCACGACTAAAATACCACTCCTGAGTCTGTGACTATTTGATACACGTTCATTTATATAATCCAACAACTCTTTGACCTCAACCTTAGAGGTAGGCTTCAAAACAAACAAAGCTCCTGGATGGTTATTATCTACCAGATGCTTCACACCAAATACCACAGCTTGTGCCACTGCGGGATGTGAAAGCATGACGTTTTCAATGACGCTGGGAATGATCTGACTGATTTGGTATTTAAAGGTTTCGTTAATTCGTTGTTCACGTAGATGTAGTGGTCCTGGTCATAAAAACCAAAGTCTCCAAGTTTCAGAAAACCATCTTCATCGAAAGCGTTACTTGTTTTGAGGTTATGGTAGCCAGACATTAAGAAAGTGTTACCTAATAAAATTAACATTCTTTCAACAATTGTAAGTATATTTGAAACAAATTTTGTTATTTTCATTTGATATATTTATTCTGGATAATATAATATTTTATTATCATACATCATATAATAGGTACTAGACTCAAACTTATAGTACTACAGTTTGTTGAACATTTCTTTGATAGTCCTACGTTGTACTTTCCCTGATGGCGTCGTAGGAATATTGTTCACTAATAAAATACCACTCCTGAGTCTGTGACTATTTGATACACGTTCATTTATATAATTCAACAATTCTTTGACCTCAACCTTAGAGTTAGGCTTCAAAACAGCCAAAGCTCCTGGATGATTATTATCTACCAGATGCTTCACACCAAATACCACAGCTTGTTCCACTGCGGGATGTGAAAGCATGACGTTTTCAATGACGCTGGGAATGATCTGACTGGTTTGGTATTTAAAGGTTTCGTTAATTCGTTCAGTCACATAGATGTAGTGGTCCTGGTCATAAAAACCAAAGTCTCCAAGTTTCAGAAAACCATCCCCATCAAAAGCGTTACTTGTTTCGAGGTTATGATAGCCAGACATTAAGGAAGGGCTTCTTACTCGGATTTCGCCTTCTTGGTTGGGGCCTAAGAGTTGTCCTGTGGTCAAATCAACAATCTGGAAATAATAAATTCAAAATTAGGATGGTCGTTTTAACAAGATTAATAAAATGAATTTGCATATTTTCGTGTGTTTTGCAGGGTTTCTCGATTATGAATAGAGCTACAAAGATGCGCTTTTCAAAGTCAAACTTCTTTACGCGCGCTGAGAGTAAAAATTCAAGGTCGTGACGTGACACGACATGCGAGATGACACGCGACACGACAGGCGAGAGGAAAAGTGATAAGAACAGCCTATGGCTTAGAAAAAATCGTCCGATTTAAGTACAATTTGATATGTCCATAGATTATAACAAGGCCAACTTGACCGTGTATGACACGTATCACTGTGACAGTTGGTTTTGACGTAAGAAACGTCAATAGTTGATGTCGTCCAATCGCGACCCAATTTGGTGGGTAGGCTATGTGAGCGACTGTACAAAGACCGTTTGTGGAACTCCACCCTGCGAAGTTGGATACGACGTTTCCTTTAAATCTTCATCAGGGTGGGACTAAGAATTTGATCTCTCCCAAAAATCCCCTATGGGTATTTTGCCACTGCAAGAAAATCTACAAAATAAAATAGTTATTTTTTTGTAAACACTACTGCGTTAATCCCAAACGGAAACTACTTGTCAGAAGTTATGTTTATAGTTATACAAATTTGCCTAACGAACAAAAAAATGCTTAACGTTTCGGAAAGTTTATCTCTTTCCGTCGTCGGAAGCAAAAAATATATAAAGAATAAGCAAAAAACTTTTTAAAATATGTAAATTCAACTATTCGAGAACACTTCAGTTTTTTAAAACAAATTTTTTCTTTATTCTTTGTATGTTTTTTTGCTTCCGACGACGGAAAGAGATAAACTTTCCGGCCGAAACGTTAAGCATTTTGTTGTTCGTTAGGCAAATTTGTATAACTATAAACATAACTTCTGACAAGTAAGTAGTTTTCGTTTGGAATTAACGCAGAAGTGTTTACAAAAAATAACTATTTTATTTTGTACATTTTCTTGCAATGGGCGAAATACCCATAGAGGATTTTTTGGAGAAATGAGTCCGCCACATACCTAGGTATAGACATTTTTTAAGGATTTGATATTGAAGAAAAATTTGGATTGATTTCGGCATAATTGGGGATGGGCTACATGATGACGCCCTCGACGTTTCGAACCGATATCTCTAAATGGCCGAAATCATCAGGATTTTTCTTAATTATGGGTCGATTGGAACCATTCTCGGCACGTGGATGGGGTCCAGACGGTCATTTTAATACAAATTTTGTGAAAGTGAATCAGATTATTTATTAATTTATTCAGTGGCGTAGCAAGGCGGAGGAGGGGGCGGTTCGCCCCGGGCGGCGACCTTCCAAGTCCCTAGGGGGCGACAAAAAATTGTTATAAAGGCGGCGGACTGATTCTGTAGGGGCGACAAACCTCTCTCCGACAAACCTCACAGATTAGTAAAATTTAGTAATCTGTGCCTATAGTGTGATTTGATAGTGCGTATAGTTACTAATTTGATTGCGCTAAGTGATTCGGTTACCTTAAAGGATCGTTTCGCTTGTCGAACTGCCAGTGAAAATCGAAAAAATTGTGATTTTGTGCGTTATCTTGCTCTTAGTGAAAATTACTTCTTCTATAAATTACTCAATAAGTAATTGATAATTTACGACTTGGCAACTAATATAAAATAAATAAATATTGTTCAAAACATCGAAAACGCTGAGAAGCGTCTTCGACATTTCCCTCGTATAATAAGAATAATGACATATCCATAGAAAAATAGGTTGACCTAACTCAACAATCGGTTATGAAATTCATTCACGTAACACGAAATTCATTCATGTAACATTGACATTTTTCATTGTTTTATTCACATTTGACTATTAGATACCTGAGAAATTGCGATGCTGTCATATGTGCTCAACGCGTATCCAGAAAACGATTCGCACGGTAACGAGAATACCAAAATTGACTGCTTGGTGTTCCGTTTATCGAATACTTTCGCTTTCAGCTTTGAAAGCGTAACGTTTTTATGTCAAAGTTACAGAATCAGGGCTCTGTGTGTAGCATCTTTAGTTTTATAAAAAAAATAGCATTGTGATTTGAAAACCTCATAAAACACACGGGAATGGGACACCCTGTACATGTAGAATGTAGAATCAGTAAGAGGGGGGGCTAATCACTGCAACCTTAAAGATCTATTGTGTCCCCCTTCCTTGAGTCATCACACAGTCTATAACCCATCATACCCCTATTGTAGAGGGGACAGGGTATTTCCCATCCTCCTCTGACAACAGTTCTTCCTCCGAGGGTACACACCCTTCCATGGTTGGAGTTTGATCCTTTTTGCCGCCCTTCACAGTCGAGGAGCTTGCCTCCGGCTGAGGAACCCGTGAGGTGGAGGCTGGAGGATCTGTCTCCATTTTCTCCACCTCTTTAACTTGGTCTCTTCTTAGACCTGATCGGTATCATCGGGGCAACACCGGTGTGTTGCCCCGTATCTATGATAGAGGATATGTCCCTCTTTCTCTATTGCCTCCTTGGATTTGAGGTCAATTCCTATTGTGAGGACCTGACCATGACCCTCCTCCCTCGAGTTGATGACTCGCCAACTCGATGTCCTTTTTTAGAATTTTAGAATGAGTTGGAGGGGGGTTAATCACTGCGACCTTACAGATCCATTGTGTCCCCCTTTCTTGAGTCATAACTCATCATACAGTCCCAGGGCTTTGACAAAAGCCAGTATCTGGGACGGTTTTATAGAGGGTAGTTCTCCATCTCCAATATCAGTCGTACCAAAATTCATGGCACGAATGGTTGTCGTCTCGGCGCACTCAGTGATGAGGTGAGAGGCTCTTTCTCTATTGCCTCCTTGGATTTGAGGTCAATTCCTATTGTGAGGACCTGACCATGACCCTCCTCCCTCGAGTTGATGACTCGCCAACTCGATGTCCTTACATTGAAGTTCTGACCCTGGACAAGGCTCAGCAGATAGGTGGTGTCTTTCCCCTTGCTCCTCGGCAGAAAGACCGTGCTGGCTGCCCCTTTAGGGATGTTTTCTCCCTCCACTGCAACCACTTCCGGTCCCTGCCAATTTTTAAGCTTAGGTGCGATTTCCACCAACCAATTCGCCGATTCTTGAGATACACAATCTATGAGGATCATGCCCACCCGAAAATGTATCCCCGCAAAACGCAGCTGACCCACATTTTGTAGATCGTTGTGTTGCGATCCGATCGCCACTACTTCGTCCAGTATAGCCTCTTCTAGAAACGGTTGCTGGTCGGTGGTCAGAGCAACCTCTGGGAAATCCTTTGGCAGCACCGCCATTTTCACTTGTCCAGAAATAGCGGCAAAGCTGGTGATACGTCACTGTTTGCTTCCCGGTGTTGGACGGCTTTCCATCCTGGCTTTTTTCTCTCCCTGCGGGAGAAGAGGTGAGAGATTCTCGCTCCCTCTTTTGCCCTTTGATGGAGATGAGTCAGGTTGTTTCTTGGTTTCTTTACTCTCCCCTTTACGGAGGAATGTTTTTACTTTTGCTTCCTCTGGAGCAAGTTCTTCGTGGAGCAGCCGGAGGTATCTCCATGCTTCTGCTCCGCTAAGACCTACTCTCAGAGGATCGTCTAGCCCGCCAGGTTGACCCAGGCCGGGTAGACGAAACGGTAGCTTGTGTCGCTTATTGGGTCTAGAGGTAGGCTCCCGACCCTTGCTGGAGAAGGTGGTAGCTTGTGTGCCACTTGTGGAGGATGATCCTAAGCAAGTGTCAGCCGCCCCTCTTGTAGTTTCCTTGGGATTTGGTCCCTTGGAACTTTCATTTGTAATGTTCCTAGTGTAGCTAGGGGGCTTCCCCCACAGCTTCACCGGTGGTGTTTTTAATACTAGATCTCATAGTGTTCCCACGAGTCGCTAGGGATAGTCGGTCCACTTCTACAGAGCCCCGCATGCAGAAGTAAGGAGTAGTCCTCTATCTAACCACGCATCCCTTTGACCTGGTCCCGCCATCGTAGGATTTAGGTTTTTGGTGAGGTTGTCTTCTCTTGATCCAGGTGGTTAAAAAAAGACCCCCCCCCACACCCTCTACCCGCGAGACATGACCACACTCAGTAGAGGGTGCCTGATATGACGGACAGGGGTAGCCCCGTCCGGCATCGTTATATGTATTGGTGCAATTCCCTGGCCACGACACTACAGCCAGGGACAAGACTATGAGTGAGATGCTTGTTAGACCAAGCCAAGCGCTAGGGGGATTCCCCACAGCACCTGACCAGGAGCTTCCCCACCAACGACAAGGTCTTACATCTCCTAGGGGAAGCACCCTGTACATACCTTTAATTCAACACCAGGTAGTAATGTTCCAGAAGATTCTATTTTATTTTTGTAGGCTTCTTCGCCCAATCTATAGTCAAAAAAGCTGATGGCGTTCGCCTCAGTGGCTCCGTAACCCATAGATACTTTGGTGTAAGGCAAGAGTTCTCTGAGTTCCAGTATTTGTGCCGGATGTACTGGAGCGCCTCCTATCACAATCGAATTTAAAGAAGATGTGTCATATTTGTCGATAATTTCTTTGTTTAATGATGCTATTCCATAGGTATAGCTGTTGGACATTAAAGCAAATGTAATCTGCGAAAAGAAATTTATTTTTATATAAATTTGATTCTGTTCTGGATATTTTGAGTTTTGTTATTTACTCAGTTTTATAGTTACTACTGTTATTTACTTAGTTTTTTTGAGCCGATTAAGCTAACTTCTATGGCTTTTAGTAATCAAACAAATATTTTTTACGTTTTAGATTGATTTGTTATTAAATTTATTTAAAACTATTATTTATTTTTTAGCTTATTACCTTATATTTTTCTGCGAGGTACAAGAATCTTTCGGCCGAAATGTCACTTCCTACAACTTTGGCAGATCCGGTAGCAATGGCGGCACTAGTCAAACCCAAAGCAGAAATCCAGTAAAATGACGAGAAGTGCATTATTACTTCAGATTTCTTCAAAGTTCCACTTCTAGAATATTATAAAAGTTTAATGTTATTTCTACAATTTCTGATTTAACAATATTACAACGCTTCGGCTTATTTATTGGTCTCGGTCATTTTGGTATTTTTCGAAAAACATTTTGGAACTTTTAGTTAAAAAATATAATACCATGATAATATGGCAACATATGTAGTAAATTAAATTTACAAGAAAGAAAACCCAGAAAAAATCCAATGGTTCTTAAAATTTAAGCAAAGATTTTTTTTTAAATTTTGAAAATAAAATATCTCCAATATTTTCGACTTATTTGAAAAACGACTAAGATAAAATATGTTTCTTTTATCGAGATCTATATACGAGCTCTGAAAATATTTGCACTTATTTAAGACCTCACCCTGTATACCGGGTGCGTCTCAAAAGTGGCTAACCCCTATAACTTTTTAGATAACACATATTTTTTCAGATAACACAGCGGGATTTGGTATGTTAGTATACGATATAAATTGGGATTGATTGGACGTATTCAATTGTTTTCGGTCAGTTCCGGTTTCACCGGAAATGACTGCAACTTTGGATTTTTAAATGGCACCCTCGGTATTTTTTTACTTTATTCGATAGAAAATGACATTCTGAATCGAATGACATATCATATGTCAATTTTAGTCATGGTCACTCAAAAACAAATTCTATTTTAAATTTCAATCTAGAGTGCTATAGCTGTGTTAAAAACACTAATTTTTAATCAAGGAGCACTGGAAAAATAGATTTGATCGTCTAATGTTTTTAGTGTCTTGTCCTGGCCGGTTAAAAGATGCCCAAATCGTATTTTTAATCATATCTCAATTTTTTCAAATGGAACGAGGATGGCTCATTAGCATATTTAGAAAAACCATTTTTTTACGAATAATTTGATACCACACACTTGGTATTTTGAGTCAAATTGTCGTTATGAACCATATGTTTCAAATAAACCATATGCCAAAATGTCAAAAGTTGACATATGATATGTCATTCGATTCAGAGTGTCATTTTCTATCGAATAAAGTAAAAAAATACCGAGGGTGCCATTTAAAAATCAAAAGTTGTAGTCATTTCCGGTGAAACCGGAAGTGACCGAAAACAATTGAATATGTAAATCAATACCAATTTATGTCATATAGGTACTAACATACCAAATATCGTTGTTTTATCTGAAAAAATAAAAAAGTTATAGGGGTGAGCCAGTTTTGAGACGCACCCGGTATAAGACATACCAACACTGGCGTCACAACTCATGGATAAATGCATTTTGCTGTAGTATACAGAATGTCCCAAGATTTCGTGGACATAGAGCTACTACGTATTTTTGGAAAAATAAGTTTATTGGACACAATTTACCTCTATACAAAAGTGCTTCGTTGGTCCGCTAGAGGGCCTCAAACTTTAAAAAAAAATAAACACTTTTTTCAGATATTTTAAGAACCGTTGTTCCCATTTGAATGAGATTTTGGGTCTCTACAATGGACAAACGAAGCACTTTGGTATAGAGTTAAATTGTCTCCAATGAGCTTCTTTGGATTCCAAAAATACGTAGTAGTTCTATGTCCACGGAATAGAGGGACACCCTGTATAAGTTCTATGATACATTTGAAGGAAACGTTGTGTAAATTTTGTTTCCTTATTACAACAAATGATTTTAAAAAGTAGCATTTTATTTTAATATCAAAATTAATATTCCATATAGGTATTAAAAATTTATGAACGTTTACATAAAAAAAGTTGAAAAATTGTTCGGGTGATTCTAATTGTGTCTAAATATATTTGATACCAATTGAACTTTTAGTTACGTAATCGAGGGAGCGATTTAATTTTTTTTTTTTTAATTTATTATTACCGACGGGCGGGCGCCGCGCCGGTCTGGCTAACTGGAATTTAAATTTCCCGCTGGGGATTCAGTTGGTAGCTCTGCTGTAAAAAATGTCAAGTTGCCACATTTATTTATTTATTTCCTGACATTGTCATTCGTTTTGACACTTTGGTTTTGTATTACGAGTTTTTGGTTTAAATGAATTGTGTTGTGAAGCTTAAAAATGTTTACAAGCAGACCTTGTAGTCGAATATTGTTATTTTTAGAACCTCTTTTAGTGCGAAGTGTACAAGATAGCTTAATACCCGTAAAAGAAACATCGCAAACTTATTAGAATATATTTTTTTTATATTATATTAGAACGGGAAAGCGGTATTAATAGCCCTTTATGTCCCTTAAGTGCTGTTAAGAAGGTGAGTTTTGTTGAATTTAATAATAACCGTTTATATATTTATAATTAATTTATTTCTGTTTCTTAAAATATTTTGATTAAGAGAAAATATGTAAAAGTGGGCAACACTCTGTCGGTCAAGCTTAATCACGTGACTAAAAGTTTATTTGATATGAATTAATCGCAAAACATTTTCCCATGCACGTCATCAATCATATACCGGGTACGTCTCAAAACTGGCTCACCCCTATAACTTTTTTATTTTTTCAGATAAAACAACGAGATTTGGTGTGTTAGTATATGACATAAATTGGGATTGATTGACGTATTAAATTGTTTTCGGTCACTTCCGGTTTCACCGGAAATGACTACAACTTTTGATTTTTAAATGGTACTCTCGGTATTTTTTTACTTTATTCGATAGAAAATGACATTCTGAATCGAATGACATATCATAATATGTCAATTTTTGACATAGTCACTCAAAAACAAATTCTATTTTAAATTTCAATCTAGAGTGCCATGGCTGTGTTAAAAACAATAATTTTTAATCAATAATGTTTTTAGTGTCTTATTTATTTATGTTAAAATATGCCCAAATCATATTTTTAATCATATCTCAATCTTTTCAAATGAAACGAGGGTGGCTCATTAGCTTATTTGGAAAAAGCATTTTTTACGAATAATTTGATACCACGCACTTGGTATTTCGAGTCAATTTTTCGTTACAAACCGCAAGTTAAAATTTCAAATAACCCATATGCGAAAATGTCTAAAGTTGACATATGATATCATTGTATTCAGAGTGTTATTTCGAATAATGTTATTTACCGAATAAAGTAAAAAAATATCGAGGGTGCTATTTAAAAATCAAAAGTTGTAGTCATTTCCGGTAAAACAGGAAGTGACCGAAAACAATTGAATGCGTCAATCAATCCCAATTTATATCGTATACTAACATACCAAATCTCGTTTTTTTAAGTGAAAAAATAAAAAAGTTATAGGGGTGAGCCACTTTTGAGACGCACCCGGTATTACTCACCCTCAAGGTTTTACTTTTAAATATTATTATATTATTTGGAAAGTTTAAAATTGTTTAAAAAATTATTTGTGACGCTTGAAAAAAATAGCTTGTTCTATTCGGGGTAAACATTACTTTTTATGCTTCGCCTGTATGCTCGTCCGTCAAACGTACAGTATTTTGAGTCAAATTGTCGTTATGAATCGCATGTTACAATTTCAAATAAACCATATGCCAAAATGTCAAAAGTTGACATATGATATGTCATTCGATTCAGAGTGTCATTTTCTATCGAAAAAAGTAAAAAATTACCCAGGGTGCCATTTAAAAATCAAAAGTTGTAGTCATTTCCGGTGAAACCGGAAGTGACCGAAAACAATTTAATACGTCAATCAATCCCAATTTATGTCATATACTAACATACCAAATATCGTTGTTTTATCTGAAAAAATAAAAAAGTTATAGGGGTGAACCACTTTTGAGACGCACGAGCACCCGGTATAGTCATCGAAATTGACACTAAAGCCTATAAACGTGACTAAATGAAACTTTGGCAAAAATGTTTAAATTTGTTGTATAATTTAAAATACCAAGCAGCTCTTCATTTTACTTTATAGAGTCAATGATTGTAACAGATATTTTATTTAGATTTATTTAGATTAAAGCTGCAAAAATCAGTGCAATGTTGGTCACATTGCGCCACGATCATCATCGTTGTCGTTTATAAGTTTTTAGTTAAAATCCATAATTTCTTGATAATACGGCAACATAGGTAGTAGATAAAATTTATCAGACAGAAAAACCCAAAAAGATCCAGTGGTTCTCAAAATTTAAGCAGAAAATATTTTTTTGGAAATGTTTAAAGTAAAATGTCTCGATTACTTTGGAGTTATTTGAGGCTGAAAATATTTTCACTTATTCAGGACTCGTCCTGTGTAATACCCAGAAAATCGACAATTGCAAACTTTCATATGAAATACGAATAGCTCTAAAACTGTTAAAATCAAAGTTTAAATTGTGGATTTTTGTAAGGCTCTATCTATACAGGGTGGCCCATCAAAAACGTTCCGCAAGGCATAACGGCCAGGGTAGTTTTTTTTCAGAAAATTCAAAAACACGTCAATTTTGTTTGTGAGGGGGACAACTTTTGCCCCAAAAATGATTGCAAAATCTTCAACCCTCTAAGCGGGGGATTCATCCCCCAATTTTTTCAAATGGGAAGGGGGGTCAAGTGATACCGCAAGGAAAAGGACTTTCTATTCTCTCTACTTTCCCGTTTCTTCGGTCGAGTCATTGAGAAAATATGAAGGATTGAAATTTGAAAAGTTTATTTAAACATTTATCAGAGTAAATGATAAGGATAAATTCCTTGGACCATTTTGCTGTTTTTTCTTATTATTTCTAGATGTTTACGCATTTTTTCACTTGCCACAAGGTTGAACGATGCGGTAGTTGCTAGATAGCTGTTCTGTGATTTGTGCGTTGAATATCGTTAAACTTTTTAGCAATTATGGTGTACTCACTTGCATAAAAAGTGGAAATAAACGAACTTTATTTTAAAAATAATGAATGTATCGGGTTGCGCAGATATTCAATGAAGGCCATCCTGACACACACCTTTATAGCAAAATTGTTCGCTAGTTAGTAGCAAAATTTCGCGAAACTGGTTCCGTTACGAATAAAAAGAGGCAGAGGGAAAATCCTGTAGTAAATGAAGCTATGGAGGTATTCATATTGGGCCAAGTTGCCATGGATAGTACGCTGAGTACAATTAGCCAATGAGACCGGCGTGAATCGTACAAGTGTCCAAAGGAAAAAAACACAAGTTCCACTCTTACAAAATTCAGTTGGTACAAGAACTCAACGAAGACGATTTTGATTGTCGCTTGCAATTTTGTGAAACTATGAATGAACGAGTGGCGAATGATAATAATTTCCTATTTAATGTGTGTTTTTCGGATGAGTGTACTTTCTTTTTGAACGGTGTAGTTAATCGGCATAACTGTCGGTAGGTACTGGGCCCAGGACAACCCCAGGGTTTCTTACGAGGTGCACACACCCTCAGAAATTGAAAGTGTGGGCTGGTATTTTTGGAAATTCTACTGTGGGTCAGTTTAACGATATTGAGAAGAACTTCAACGTACACAAGTCACAGAACAGCTATATCTAGCAACTACCGCACCTGATCGTTCAACCTTGTGGGAAGTGAAAAAAATCATAACCATCTAGAAATAATAAGAAAAAACAACAAATTGGTCGAAGGAATTTATCCTTATCATTTACTCTGATAAATGTTTAAATAAACTTTTTAAATTTCAATCCTTCATATTTTCTCAATGACTCGACCGATTTTCAAAAACGAAGCGGTGAAATATAGAGAATAGAAAGCTCTTTTCATTGCGGTGCCACTTGACCCCCCTACCCATTTGAAAAAAGTTGGGGTATGACAGCCCCGCTTAGAGGGTTGAATATTTTGCAATCATTTTTGGGGCAAAAGTTGTCCCCCTCACAAACAAAATTGACGTGTTTTTGGATTTCTTGAAAAAAGGAATACTCTGGCCGTTATGGCTTGCGGAACGTTTTCGATGGGCCACCATGTAGGTAAACAATCATTTAAATCAAGGCATGAACGATTCAAGGTGTAACGTGAACGTAGTCGCGGGAAAAAGCTAGTTAATTATTAAATTAAAAATAAAACGTAAAAATCTTAAAAAATGATATGATAAATAAATTGTTTCCCAATTTTACATTAAGATTCATCTCATAAATCCATCACAATCTGGCTCAATGTCACTCAATGTTGATCACGTGCATCGGAAATTGTTTTGCGATTAATTTATATGTCACTCGCCCACTCTAGGGCTAAAACTTGCTTAGACTACTTACTCCAACAGATTTAGGCCTATATCCAAAGCATATTTGTTCGATACGTATATTCCTTTAGGAGAAGAAGTCGTTCCACTACTAAACATAATAAAGGCTACATCAGTAAGCTTCTGAGCTACCGGACGAAACAATTTTTCTTGGTCATAAATCTTCTCTAAAGATTTTAGAGTCGTGTATTTGTCAGAATTTCCAACTACCACAATACAGGGCGTTAAATCCAAACCAATTAAACTATTCTGTATCAAATCAACCGATTCCTGGTCTACAAATATCATCTTTGGTCCAACCAAACTGATCAAGTACCGCACATCAGAAGATGATTGTTTTGGATCGGTAGAACTGACATATCCACCTAAGTACAATGTTGCTAGGACTGGAATTATGTTGTTTATGCTACTTCTACAGCATAAAAGTACGATTTCTTTTGGTTTAAATCCCAACTCTTTCATTCCCAAGGCTACTTTAGTCGTTCGGGATTTGACTTGAGCAAAAGTTTCTGTTTTTTCTGTGTTACCATCAATCTAAAACACATTTTAATTAATAAAATTGGTAAAATGTGTAAAAACAAGATTTTTGTAGTATACAGGGTGTTTCACAAAAAATGTGCCATCTCCCGTGGGGAGATTCCTCACGTAAAAATAAGATTTATTTTTTATATAAACATAGGTCCGATTCTGCTTTGTTTCGTAGCTACAGGGTGTTAAAGTCTTAATAATCTTTCGATTTATTATAATTTTCTTCCAAGTACTTTTAGGGATTCGAAGGAAATTTTGAGGGTAAAAGTTACTATAAGTGCTACATATTTTAATGATGCTAAAAATGTTGCGGCGACTTTTTAAAAGGTTAGAAAAAATTATAAAAAAGGATGTTAAAAATTAAAAAGAAAACCGCAGCGTACGGCTGCTCTTCGTCTGGTGAACAATAGGTGTAGGTTCATTTAATTATTTTTGCATATTGTTGGGCACCACTTAATTTAAGCCAAGTTAAGGTGATATCTAAAAAATTAAGAAAATTACCACAGGCTAAAGATGTTCAGTAATGATATATCTCAAATTAAAACAGCAAAATTTAATAAAAAAAACTATGTACATTTATTAATAATTAAATAACTCCAGTTTGAAAGTGAATAAAAAAGGTCTTTAAAAGAAATACAATAAATTAATGTTATCTTGATATATCGAAACTTAAATATTACTAAATATAAATTACTAAACGTAATCGTTTGTTTAAGTTTCATTAAAAAGGTTTCAATATAAAGTAAATTTCAGTAGAAAGTTAAAAAAAGGCAAAAAGATTCTAAAGCAAAACATAAATGAGTACTTAGCTTTTGCTCTGAAGCTGTAATCAATCAGTGTTGATTTCGTATCGTACTTGGGCCCATATCCATTAAAAGAACAACGCTTTATTGTACAAAAAGTCAAAACAGCTTCATCGACAAAGCATTCACAAAACAAAAAAGCACATAAACAAATATACAAATAATAAAAAAAAACAAAAAATGTCATACAATACAAATCAATTCAAAAAAATTTACGTCATAAAATTACAAATAAAACATATATGGATATTGTAGAACACAGGCGTATCTAGAAAATTTTACAAAAGGAAAACTGTAAATGGATAAAATCATGTTATATATCATAAAATCAGGAGTTATAAAATATTAAATACTAGACCTTTAACCAGTGTGTGAGATTATCAAAATTGTTCATGATTAAACATCAACAAAAAAGTCGCTTACCGCATATAGGGTTCTCTCCAGTAAGTATGATTTCAGAGCTTTGTGAAATGCGGGAAAGAATGAAAGTGACTTGATATTCGAAGGCAAATGATTGTACATTTTCTTGGCATTGTACAGTATTGAGCCCTTAACTAGTTCTGAGCTCGGGGTTGGCAGATAAATATCGTGCTCCGCATTCCTAAGTGGATAGTTGTGAGAAGGCCTTTCCGGAATAGAGAATATGTGCTTGCGGATTAAGCATTACGTAACTGCTGCAAACCATCAGAAAACTTGGAAATTTGCGGAAAAGGGGAAAACTCGCCAATTCATACCAGCCTCCAACAGGGAACCTTCACGGAACCATTCATAAAAACCCAAAACTGCTCAAAATCTTCGGCTCAAAAAAAAACTATTACTGTGCTCTCAAAAAAAACTCCTCCAAAATCTACTCCAATAAAAACTCCCAAAATGTCAAATCTTCCCCTTAAGTTGGTAAGAGACACATCTATAATAAATTATTTTTTCTCTAAGTATACGAAAAAAGGTAAAAAGAAGAAAGCTATAACTTACTCGCAGGGCTATTCTCCGCCACAAACGATGTACAAAAAAACTTCTCTGAGAAGGTGAAAACCACCCTGGGACTTCTCACCAGTGGTCGAAATGAAAGTGTCGAAAAATCCGAATAAAACGTTAAAATTCTGCCAGAGATTATCTTTTGAAGACAAAAAATCAACACACACCAAACTGTGCTCGAAATAAGGAAATTTCAGGAAAGTTATTAATCAACATTTAAAGAATAATTCTAACGATTAATATAAATGGCAACCCTGCGCCACCACATTGAACAGCATTCACGGTACTACCAAAATTGCAGCGGTACCGACTAGGGATGGGCATTATTTGCTTAAATTCTGCTAGAGATGTAGTGTAAAAATAATAAATTATTTTAGGCTGCTACAATGTGTCGATAAATTCATCAGGGAAGTGCATATGGGTTATCACTGAAATATTTTTCAAAAAAAAACATGTGTGCCACTGACTTTTTTCTTTACATATCAAAATTGTATAGGCCGTTTAATTAAAAAAGTCAGTGGCGTACATGCTTTTTTTAGTAAAAATATTCCAGTGATAACCAATATGCACGTCCCTGGTGAATACGTCGACGCTTTTTAGCTTTAAAATATGTCGCATTTATAGTAACTTTTACCCTCAAAATATCATACGTTAAAAGTACTTGGAAGGAAATTATAATAAATCGAAAAAATGTTAAGATTTTAACACCCTGTAGCCTACGAAACAAAGCAGAAATTTCATTAGACTACATTTAGCGTTTCGGATGAAATTTTGAAGATAAAAGTTACAATAAATGCAACATATTTTAAAGCTAAAAAAGTGTCGACATATTCACCAGGGACGTGCATATGGGTTATCATTGAAATATTTTTCTGAAAAAAGCATGTACGTCACTGACTTTTTTCTCTTGTTAGTGGACTAGTGTAAGCATAATGCCGATTAAAAGTTGTCCCTTGATATTTTGTCGATTTCGGCCTCCTTGATGAGATAAACGCAATTTTATTAATTTACCTTAATCCAAGTCTAATAGAAACCAAGAACGGTAAACTAATAGGATTGCTCATCCACATAAGACGTACGTTCGCCTCTTCCCGCGCTTCAGCTGACAGTTGTGACGTCATTGTAGTCCTTGTCATGATAGTGTGTATTATTAGTTGCCTATAGTAAACTTATAAAAATAACAGATGAGAAATTTTGAGTTAATTATTTTGTCAATTTTAAATGCGAAAAAGGTGTTTTTAAAGTTTTTAGAGCTATAGAGTGTATAAATACGTTCATTTTGTGTTGTGGATTGTGACAAAGTGCTTACTAAGTGCCTACGATATTGTTACTTAATTATTTTAAAGCAAAATATGGAAGTACTCTAAAAAGAATGCCTGCAAAAGGTGATGCTGGGAACTGCCGTTCTTAAAAATGCATTATCCGAATATTTAATACGATTTATACAGTTAATTTTCTATACTGCATACATATAAGGTGTTTAAATAAATAAAGTCAAAATAAACTAAATAATGAACGTTTTGCATCCGGCAACCAATAATGCACATGTGTGTATTATTGGTTGCCAGATAAGGACTAATAACCATGACAAGGACTACAATGACGTCACAAAGCGAGGAGTTTTTCTCGTGCACCTGTCAGACACTTTTGGCCGAATGAGCAGTCCTATTAGGTTAATTGTTCTTGAATAGAAACAGCGTTTTTTATCTTTTGATTGCTTTTTCAAAATGCCAACAACTTCAACTATTTCAAATAATAAAGGCATTTTGAAAAACCATTTAAAAGATAAAAAACGCTGCTAAGACTATCAAAATGTTGATCTAATAACAATTTGACGTTTATACTATTACGTCAAAAGCAACTTTTTTCCAAAGCCTACCATGACTTCACTGACTCATCGTTACTTGTCCACTGTTATTAATATCTTAATTATTAGATATTAATACCTCTGGTATTATGGTATTCTGGTGTTTCGTCGATTTTAAAATAAACTAACTATTTCTATCTTATTTTTTTGTTAGAATGGGCATAATTAAGAGGGCTACTGATACCGTATTGTAAAAATAAGGTAATTAAGGGCTTATTT